TATGCCAGTCACTCACTCGAACATTGTGCAACCATAAATATGATGGTATGCTTGTATCTTTGCATATGTGGGTATTATGTAGTTACAATATATAAAATATGCTCAGAATTATAAAAGGAAGGCTAAAATGCTGATCTGAAAAGACACTAATTTTTTTTCTAGGTAAGAAGGTTATCCCCACCTGTATTATCTTTCCCTTTTGGTACCTATATAAGAGACAGTGCAAAGGGAATAGGTATCACTTTTCATCACAGAAAATAGTCTTTAATCAGAAAAAAAAGGGAGAATGGAAAATATTTTGCTGTCAGGTCTGTTGGCTATTTATTTTGGTCAGAAAAGAAGATGTTGGTATATATTCACAGATTAGTGATTATGGAGATTCAGGTGTCCCTCAGCTAAGAAATAATGCCAGAGCTGTGAACTCTCCAGGAGGAAGGCTGATGGGTCACCAGGCAAGGGACTCTGCGGCCAGCGACTTTGCTCATCGCTGTGACCAATCACCTGAGGAGAGGCCCTTAAGGGAGGAAGGCTTTATTCTGACTCTCAGTTGGAAGATGCAGCCCATCCCACCAGAGACACAGTTGCAGAATAGGATGCCACTGCTTACATCTCAAGGAATCAGGAAGCAGGCAGAGAGGATGCTCTTTTTTTCCTCCCTCTGTTTATTCAGTCCAGGACCCATGGGATGGTGCCACCCACATTCAGACACAATAAACTCTGAGATGAGTTACCTGGGTAAAGTGCCCAATCCCAAGGACAAGTCACACGTGGCAAAAACATGTTTCTGCACAGAGGCAAATATGAATAGCAACAGCTGAAGTGAACTCGCTCCTGTCCGCTACACTTCGGAAGAGCACGCAAACACATTCCAGGGCAAGTCTGGGTTTTGAGGAAACTGAGATCACAAGACTCTTGTCTAATTTTCATAAAGCTTTCTCACACGCCCTCAGAATTCTCACAGGACTTTATTCATGGTCTGTGTCCACACACACACACACACACACACACACACACACACCTGCACATATAACACACAGATGCACACACACCCTAAGAAGCCTTGAGAGGTAGCTAGAACTACCTAGATCTAGTTAAAATGAAAATTGCCAGTCTCAAGTCAGCACATGGGCTTCAACACAGAGAGGAATCCCATATCAAACAAAGAAAGGTGTCGTGTCCGTCCTGTCCCGTCCCACCCTCACCCCCTGTGGTTTGAACATACTGGAACCACTTCCAATCTCTTCTTTCTCATGGTAATCGGTCTATAAAGACAGCTAGGGGTGCACGTATCTAAAACCTGCCTCCCTTCTAGGGTCATGGAGGCCTACTCTGTTCACACAACCTGCCTGGAGCACCTTGCCTGCCGGGTTGCTTGACATCGGCTCCTCAGGGACAGGAAACTGAGTTCCTTTGGTCCCATGTCCTCAAAGGGACAGGGACAGGCTGCTAGTTATGTTGAGCAACCTTTCTCCCAGAGCTGCCACCTAAAGAACAAGCTTGACAGAAACGCTCCTATGTTTAGAGTCACCAGGGACGATATGGCTGCAACCTGCTCTGCTTTGAAGTTAGCATATGCTTTCAAGCCGCAGTGCTAATACTGATCTCAATTCGTTTAGGTGCCAAGAAGTTATAATTGATACAAGACGAGACATAACTTTCGAAATGTAATCAAAATTAATTAAAACAAGTACACGGAGAAGGCAGTTTAAAAGAGGCTTAGGAAAGAGAGACTCAGCTGGGAGGCAGTGGCACGTGCGTTTAATCCCGGCACTCAGGAGGCAGAGGCAGATGGATCTCTGTGAGTTTGAGGTCAGCCTGGTCTACAAAGCAAGTTCCAGGACATTCAGAGCTAAACAGTGAAACCCTGTCTGGAATTCTCCACCCCCAAAAAAGGAAAAAGAGATTCAATAGGCACCCGCTGTGTCTCAACTCTCATCTAAGAGAAGACAGTAACAGTCTACCCTGATGCAGGAAGAGACCAGCTGTCAGACAAGCCCGATGATGAGCCTCTTCCTCTGATGTCACTTTCTAATTCTACAGCACTTTAGTCTCCAGAATGTATGGACCCACTAGCAAAGGGACACATTTGGTCCAACTTCCTGCCCCTTGCAAAACTTACACCCCGCCCTTCATCCTGCTTTTCAAATGTGCGACTCCATGAGTTTGGCTATAGTATAACTCCGAACCCCCTGTCCATCATTCCTCACTGAACTGACAAATGGAATTTCAGAGCCTGTGAAGCTGAGGCCCAGACCCTAGCCCAGAGTGACTTCCCACTGTGCTACCAGTACAGCGTGACAGAGCCAGCTGGCTTCGTGATCTTCACTGCGGAAGAAAGATGCAGGCACTCTGAGGGGAGCATGTGGCGAGCCAGCCTTGGTACTGCCCCTCACCCGTCACATGAGAGAATTAGGTGCCAGCCTCTTTGCTTTTGTTTGTTTGTTTGCTTGCTTTTTTTTTTTTTTTCTAAGGTGGATTCCTAGAAGAAGGGTTCTCTGTGGTGGCTGGGGTTGTCCATCCTCCCTAGAGCACACAGTTAAATGCACCAACTGCATTGAGTCCAGAGGCATCTGCAGGAGAGACTAGCAATGTTTCTGAGAGGCCCAGCTGCCCCGGACATGTGTAAGATTTGTAAATCTTAACAGAAATTGAAGACTTACTTTTTAAAAACTTTTTTGGGGGGTGCTGATTCGAAAGGCTGTGTCTCAGGACTGGGGAGAGGACTAAGTGGATAAAGGACTTCCTGTTAAATGTGAGGGTGGATTTCAGTCTAGAACTCACGNGACCCATGGAGCAAACTGACTGGCTAGACTCATCAAATTAGCCTGCTCTAGGTTCAGTGGGAGATCCTGCCTCAGTAAATAAAGAATGGACAAGAAAAATACCCATTGTGAACCGCTGGCCTCCATGCACACATGCGCACATGTGCCTATCTACACACATGCGATCATGCATGCACATATGCACAAATACTACATGTGTAAACATGCAAAAGAAACAAACCAATATTACATTTTAAAAATGAATACTGTTTTGTTAGTTGCCTAACAGTCAAATCTTCCCAGGACCTTACCTTTCTGAACCACATTTCTTCATCACTGTAGGTATAAAAGTGCTTGTCTCCGATGGCTGTCAAGATCTCATTGGATATTTAAGAACATTTTAAACACCAGAAGTGCAATATAAATAGTTAGTCAATTTAAATTTACTGTTAAGGATATTTTTCCTGGCCTATGTGGCCATACATTTTGGAATTTACCCAACTTATACTTGTAGTTTGATTTTTCACTCTTTTGGCTTGGTGGGGGGCACCACCCAGCAACCAAATAAATCACATATACAGAGGCTTATTCTTAGTTTTAAATGTCAGGCCTTAGCTTGGCTTGTTTCTTGGCAGCTTTTATTAACTTAAATTGTCCCAACTAACTTTTGCCTCTGGGCTTTTTCCTTTTCTTACTTCTGTGTATCTTACTTTCACTCCTACTCTGTGGCTGGGTGGCTGCCCTAGTGCCCTCTCGTTCTCATTTCTCCTTCTATTTATTCTCTGCCTGCCAGCCCCACCTATCCTACTCCTGCCTCGCCATTGGCCATTCAGCTCTTTATTAGAACCATCAGGTGTTTTAGATTGGCACAGTAGCACAGTTTCACAGAGTTAAACAAATGCTGCATAAACAAAAGAAACACACCTTAAAATAATATTTCCCAACATGTACTAACATTTACCAAATACTTAATGCTCCAGGCACTGAGATGGGCGCTGATGAAGAATGAGCAAAGCAGCCGTTCTGATCCCTTACCTTCCACGTGGGAGGCGTGCGATGCTAAAAACTGACAGTCCCTTCCCCGGGCCCTGGGGGGTTTGTTGATGGGTGTACTATTAATAACCACCACTGAGATGTATTCATGAATGGTCCACAAGGGTTGAAATGAATTAATCAGTTTAATTAATTAATAAGATTTAAAATGTAGCACTGGAGGTAACCTTAAGAGCAGTTTCTCCCAGTTCCCTCGCTTTATAACTGAAGAAAGCTAGAACCCAGAATACTTGAAACTTACCCAGGATTACATATTTGTGTGTGTGTGTGTATGTGTGTGTGTGTGTGTGAGAGAGAGAGAGAGAGAGAGAGAGAGAGAGAGAGAGAGAGAGAGAGAGAGAGAGAGAGAGAGAGAGATATATCAGGGATACTCAGGCAAGGTCAGAACACAGATTTACCCTCCGAGGCCAGTGCTTTTCTCTTGCTGGCTTCTATCTGAGGCAGGGTCTATGTACACCCCTGGCTGACTTCCAATCTGCAGTATTCCTCCCGCCTCTGCCTCCTGAAGGCTATCACAGGCATGTGCCTCCAGGTCAACTGAAAGATGCTAACTCAACCTTGTTCTGCGCTCAACTGTGCCAAAGTTTTTTTTTCCTATGGAAATTTAGCAGTTCACTAGATGTTAATAAGTTCTTGGTCTCGTAACTTCAGACCCTGTGGTCAGCCCTGCCTCTGCTGCAGAGGTCCAGTGTGGACTGACTGTGGGAGGGGCATCCCTGTAGCAAGGAGACTCTTCCACCACGCCCCACCCGTCATTCCCAAACCCATCCAACTATGGAACCCATGTGTGCTTCTTGCTACAGAGTGTGGCGAATTCCCTAAGCAGAAAACACAGCCTCACATCAACCTGACAAACCTGACATGGGAAACCTGGGCAAACCTGGCATTGCTCCCTAACGCACACAGCTTCAGAGGGGCAGTTTCCAGGTCTTAGGGCTGTAGGTAGCCTGTGGATCTGTGGGAATACAGAGAGGCAAGGCCGGTAGGAGGCAGTTTTTGCATGGACAGTGTCCTTTTGATCCAGGACTGGCACAAGACGCGACAGAAGCTGAAGGGATAAGTTTGCATATCTGGTTTTTGGAGGAAAACAATGTTTTTGTTCTCAATAGTAATTCTATTAGTTTTTTTTTTTGTTGTTGTAATTTTCAAGCCTTTTACAGATTCTGATTTTTGTTGACCTTCTAGGCATCCACAAGCCGGGAGTTCCCCATCAGGCTGTGATGTTGCCTGGGAACATGCATTTAAGGCAGCTGGACGTCCCGATGCTGAGGTAACACTCCTTCAGTCTGGCCAGAGTCCGCAGGCATGGAGCCTGTCTGTGACTGTCTGGCCCAGCCATCCAAACATGAAACTTGTAGTGATATTTTGAAGTTTTTGAGACAAAAGCCTAGCTAAAGAACCTTGTTTCAGTGGAGAGACAGGGAGGCACAGTGAAGGGAGAATCAAAAGCCTGGAAATTGGCGGCTGAGAATAAACGCAGGCTACTCCCTGAGGTGATTTGAGTCCTCCCCGCTGCAGATGGTGGAGTCTCTCTCTGAGAGAGGACCTGAGGTTCTCTGGTAGCACTTTGATACCCTGCTTGAATTCAGCACGTGAAATGGAGGCGTCTCTCTGTGACTTGGAGCCCACAGCAGGCTTTGAAGTCTGATCCAATTTTTGCTGCCTCCTATTTGATGTTGAAAGGGTGAAATGAAGAAAATGTACAGTTTTTGCCAGTAACTCTGCCGAGCATATGTAAGATTGAAAGAAAAAAAAAATCCTCTGGATGATGTGCTTAGAAATGGCAGGCAGATTAATACCTTCCTATACGTCTTCTTGTTTCTCTCTTAAGGGTAGAAATGAAGTAAAGAGGAGAATTGGCACGTGGCTGGTTTTCTGCCCTGCACTAAGTAGTTGAGGGGGGTGTTAGTGCAGAGGAGGAAATAGGTGGCTGAAGTCAAAGGTACCGCGCCTTGGCTTCTAACTGTCCCAGGCGAGGACCGGCACTCAGTTCTATACAAGACACAGAGAGCATGCAAATGCCATCAATACAGTCAGGGCCAGTGTCCCTTACTTTAATGGAAAGCATGTCCTTACAGCTACTTCACTAGAGGATGAAAATGGCCCTTCTCTCACTCCTTCTTTCGCTAGCTCTCAGTTGCTGGAACCGATGTGTCATCTTCCTGGACACGTCACACGGCCCCAGCTCACCAAAGACCAAACACCTGCGAAGGCCCGGCCAAACCTGGTAAGGAAGACATTTGGAATGCGTGCAGTTTGACCATTTGCATGCTGGTATATGTTCCAGTGAGTTGTTCATGAAGGCCTGTCTAGAAGTCGGGACCTAATAGATGGTAAGATGATGTAATGCTAGCAGGAAGCCATAAAGGCTGGGAACAATAGTCATATTAAAAAGTAGCCATTTATCCCGGACAGTGGTGGCGCTTAACTTTAATCCCAGCACTCTGGAGGCAGAGGCAGATAGATCTCTGTGAGTCTGAAGCCCTCCGGGTCTACAAAGGGAGTTCTAGGACCATAAGGGCAACACAAAGAAACTCTCAAAAACAAAAAGTTGCAGTTTAAGATTGGTGTGGTAGCACAATCCCGCTTAGAAGCAGAGCAAAATCAGGATATATAGCAAGTCTGAGGCCAGCCTGGGCTACATCAAGACTCTGCTTCAAACAGCCAAAGTATATACATTCATACATACATAAGCGGTAGCAGTTTGCTTCCCACTCATGTGCTTAAATGAATATCAAGGGCCATACTTCCCTTGTAAAGCCCTGAAATTATTCCTAAGCTTCTTTTGTTAAAAGAAAGAAATATCTATATTGCAGCAGCGTCGATCATTCAAGGGCAAAATCTCTGGTTTTGCAACAAATATGGACTTGGAGAATACCTCTGCATTCTGGGTAACAAGCCCATTTACCTAGCAAAAGACAGACGCCTCACAGTTTGTCTTCGGTGCCAATGAATTCTGGCCCCTTTACAAAATTCCTTGCTATGGATTATGGTAGACATCAGTTTCAGACTCGTGGGCAGCTATCACCAGTGCTTCTGGAAGATAAAGTACAGACCATGATTGTAGGATATATTTATGAACAGATATATCCTTAGATCAAGGAGAGAAATCTTGCGGCTGGAGACGGCTCAGCAGTTAAGAACACTGATTGCTCTTCTGGAGGACCCAGGTTTGACTCCTACCCACAACCATCTATAACTCCAGCTTCAAAGAATCTGAGGACATTTTCTGACCTTCACGAACACTGGGCACACACATACATAGTCCACATACATACAAGATGCCAAGCGCACACACACACATAGTCCACATATATACAAGATGCCAAGCGCACACACACACACACTTACCCCATGCCTTAAAAACAAATAAAATACATGTAATTCCATAAAAATAAAAGTCAGCATGGGTTTAATAGTTAGAAACACAGGTCTAAAGTCAGGCCTGTCTGGGTTCACATATCTGCTCTCTGGGTAATGGTAACCAGGCTATGTGATATATCAGTAACTTTTCTCATCATTTTGATAAAATGAGTTGCACATTTTGATAAAAAAAAAAAAACCGAATGTGATGGTATATGCTTTTCATTCCATACTTGGAAGGGAGAGCAGACAGATCTCTGTAAGTTTGATGCCAACCTGGTCTACATAGAAAGTTCCAGGCCAGCCAGGGCTACATGGTGAAACCCTGGGTCAAGAAAAGAAAAAAAAAAAAAAGCAAAATGAACAAAACTCCCCACAGAGAGCAACTTGAGGAACAAAGTGTTTATTCTGGCTTACAGTTTAAGGTAAAACAGTCCATGGTGGGGGGGCATGAAGGCGGAGTCTGAGGCCAATGCTCATGCAGAATCCACAGTAATGGGTCCCTCCCTTTCCTCCCATTTTATTCAGCCTCAGACCACATCCCATGCAATGATGCTGCACACTTTCAGGGTGGCTCTTTCCTCTTCGGTTAAACCTCCTTGGAAACCCCCTCAAAGCCGTACCCCCGACATGCGCTTTAGGAATGCCCCCTGCATCTTTTAACCCAAAGTCACCAGTGATGGAAATTAACCAGCATGCAGGACAGTTCTACTGCAATATCCATGTTTATAAACCGAGAAGGGCAGCAGTTATACGCCGGAGGGCCATATGGAGACCCATGAGCCAGTGCTAGTGTAGGGTGCTGCACAGAGCTTGGCTCACAGGAAGGGGTGCTCAGGGGCTGTGGTGACCTTCCATTTCTACAGAAATACTCAAGTATGGGTGGCTAGAGGAGAGATCGGTTCTTGTTGGAAGGCTTTGGGTCGTGATGGAATCGTTCAGAAAGAAACACATAGTGTATTTCTAACCAAAGGCGTAGAAAAGACGTTGGAATTGCCATTACCTTTCTAGTCTTAGAAATTATTAGAAACTAGACATATACTCCCAAAGCCAGACTCATTAGGGAGTTGTAAATCTGGCATTTAGAAATGGCTCTTAGGTATTTCCCACAGCTGTCCCTTCCTTCAGTGGAAACAGCTGTATCCTGAGTCAGTTGCCATCACTATTATCTGCCCTTATACTCATAAAAACGGCTTCTACCCTAAGTGGTTTCCCTGGCTCCTCCCCCTCCTTCGACTCCTCTAATGCACGGGAGTCTGAGCAGCATTTCTGAAACATAACTCTGCCTGTGCCATTTGCTTCCTCCACTCTCCAGTGTTCCCCAGTCCCCACCCCCAGCCCCACCCCCGCGGCCCAGAGCCAATTCTGACGTCACTGAAGGCTTCCTGTGCTCTTGTGCTGGTCTCACTTTCGGGCTCTGATTTTTACTGGTGTCTCTTTCTCCTTTAAGGATTTTAAGAATCCCTAAACTATTCTCTACTCTGTGGACGTGCCCAGTATATTCTTTCTCGTGTGGCTTTATTTGTGTTGTCCCCTCTGTCAGAATCCCCTGTGTCCATCATGGCCCATGATGATCCCCGATTCTGTGTCCTTTGACTTCTGACTTGGGGGACTGACGCCATTGCTCCTGAAAGATTCTGGTAGGTCAGGGGCAGGAACTAAACCCCAGGTGCTCAATCTGGGACTCCAGAGCAGCCATCACTCCAGCCTTTAAAAAGAGGACTTGGACAGAGCCTTTAGCTAAGGAATCCAAGAACTGTCTCCAGCCAGCCCACATTGCTCATATAGATGAATATGTTCAGAAGGAGGCAGGCACCCATCACTTCGCCATTAATCCAACCAGTGAAATACTTTATAGGATTGTATATAATCTCTAACCCTAACCCTGAGTATATAAAATCTCAAACAGGTTCTTACTATGTAAAGATGTATTTCTCAGACATTTGTTCTTCTCTTGATTTATTCATATACTTATTTAAAAATATTATTAATATTTTCTACATGCCAGAATCCATCTTGGGTCACCAATTTTCAATTTTTTTTTAAAAAAAAACTGATGTTTATTTGTTTGTTTTCAATAGACTGCTTTTCTGATTTGCTGTCTGATAGTTTTGTGACATATAATAAAAAGAAATCCTAGAAAAGCAATCACCCACTAAAAGTACCTAGAAAAGCAATTGCTCCCTTGGATACTTCGCTGATATCAAACTGATCTCAACTTGGTTTGATTTCTTCCTTTCAGTTAGATGGCTCTGAATTCCTTCACTAATTTAGTCAGGCACGAGGGACACCAGGCAGCTTGAAGACTGTCGGTGAGTGACAGTCACGTTTGGATCACTCAGGGCCTCCTGTGCTGGACGAGGTTTGTTTGCCTTTGTGTTGTAAATATAATTCCAACAGAGTGTTCCACACACCAACTGCTATCACCTCTGGTAACCCTCTCTGAGGCCTCTGTCCAAAACTGGGCTCTTTAAAAGAATTTTACAGTGGCCGTGGTAAGAGTCAAGGGTTTCTTATGAGTCTGCATTGAAGAGAACTTTGAGGGATGAAGAAGGAACAGAGTCTACTTATGTGGCCAGGCCTCCCTCCCTCCCCAGGGTCCACGGTGAGCTCTGACTGTGGTGGAGGCCTGAGGGAAGTTCCCAGTTGACAGAGGTTAATGGAAGCCCTGGAGAGAGCATCTGCCAGGCAAGTGCTGCAGAGGCCACAGGTCCCTGCCTTAGTCACATGATGTCACTGTGAAGAGGCACCACTACCAAGGCTACTCTTATTTAAAACAAAACAAACAAGCAAACAAAATCTCGGAATTTAATTGGGGCTGGCTTACAGTTTCAGAGTGTTAGTCTATTAGCATCATGGTGGGAACATGGTAGTGAGCTTGGTACTGGAGCAGTAGCTGAGAGCTACACCCTGATCTTCAGGCAGAGAGAGAGAGAGAGAGAGAGAGAGAGAGAGAGAGAGAGAGAGAGAGACAGACTGCCTGAGCCTGGCAAGGGCTTTTGAAAACCTCAAAGCCCACCCTCAGTGACACATTTTCTCCTCCAAGACTACACCTCCTAATCCTTGCAATCCTTTCAAACAGATCCAGTGATTAAGCATTCAAATATATGAGGCTATGGGAGACATTCTTATTCAAAACAGCACATTGGGGCTGGAAAGATGGTTCAGGTGTTAAGAGCGCTGGTTACTCTCCAGAGGGCCTGGGTTCAATCCCCAGCACCCGCATCACAACTCACAACTGTCTGTTAACTCAAGTTCCAGGGAATCTAGCATCCTCACACAAACATACATTCAGGCAAAACACCAATGCATTTAAAAAAAATTTAAAAAATCATTAAAAAACAAACCCCACCATACTCCCCAAAACCACCCATAGTCTGGTCTTGTGCCTGCCATGTAGAAAAGCTCATTACAAATCCTATGACATCACCTCTGCCCAGATTGTTCCTGCCCAGTCTTGGCATGCTCCCCTGTGAGAGTTAGGTTGGGATGTGCTTTCTGTCACTGCCAAGCCCTGGCGTTGGCCCAGGACATCAGGAGCACAGCTGCCAAAGACGGCGAGGTGTGCTGTGTCCTCAGCTTCCAGGACTCGTGCCCATGAGGGCAGAGAGGCTTTGATCCTAACTTACGTGATATCATATGTAATACACATAGACTCCCCAGTTAACCTTAGCCGCCTACTTTATTTCATTCTAAACTCAGCTTTAAAATCAAACATAGAATGGTTTTATGGTAGAAATGGTTTTTCTTTTTACTTCTGTTCATTTTCTGAAATTAGGTATAATACTTTTTTCTGGGAGTTTGGGGTGTGTGTGACAAAGAATTTCTATATAGCCTTGGCAGGTGTCTTTGTCACTTTTCTAT